AAAAGAGAAGGTAGTTGGTGGTTCTCTATGCTTATATCGTGTATCTTCTAACGACCAAGTGACTGAGATTTTTACTAAAAGATTATGTAACACATCTCTTCAGAACCTGATTTGCAAGTTGAGCATGTGTGATATCTTTACGCCAATTTGAGGGAGAGTGTTGATAAGGATTTCATGCTAAATAGAATATTATATTAGTTACAGTTTTAATAATATAATTATATCTTATAATTAGAGTTCAAGTAGAATAAGAATAACCACTTTATATATATCTTTTAAATGTAAACATAAGAAATAAAAAATAAAATTAGAAGTTTATTTTCTCCAAAAACTTCAATAGTTCATCATGTCTTATTGATTCAAGATTGGTACTTTTATGATGTTGCATTTAGTGCAATTTTCATTTTTTTCTTGATTCTCAATCTCAGATTTTATAAATATATAGAATTAAGACACTGTGGGCTTAGGAGGGTTTATGTAAAGAAAAGAAATTTGTACAACTTATACCTTTGACTATCTTTTGGATTATTTGGAAAGAATGTATAGTAGGGTTTTTGATGGTATTGAGGATGAGTGGACAAAAATTAAGAATAGATGGTTTCATTTTTCTTGCTTTTAAATCTTAAATCATGACATATACAGGATGGATGATTTTGAAAATGTTATTGATATGATTGCTATGTTGTAAATACTTTTGGACATGAGTTGCACCTCATTCAAGCTATTCAATACATTTTTATACTTTTTATTTCAAAAAAATGTTTGACCCTATCCTCCATCCTCACACTGAATTTTTTGGGGATTAATATCCAATTCCCACTAATAAAATTATTTGGAGATGAAAGCAAGACTGTAGGGAAACCACCCAAGGTTTACCAAAGGAAAAAGAGCAAATTGGAAAATAATTGTAAAGGAAAAAGTTAGATAGGTAATTCATCAAATGAAGTTTGTTCTGGATCAGTTTCTTTCGTTGTAATCGGTAGAAGCACCTAGCAGACAAGGCGCACCTCCCTCTTTCCCTAGTCTATATATTCAGTCCTCCAGGGCTGGATGATTGGGTTAATGGGTGGGTTAATTGGGGGGGGGGTGCGCCTTATGAGTCGTTTCCCAAGAATTTTTGCAATCACACAATCAAGAAATATGGTAATTGAGGAGGCGTACAGGGACCTCAATGGTAGCAGAGATTGGTTGGTGAATGTCACTAGAAACCTGAATGATTGGAAAATTTGTGAGTATGAAGCTCTTCTGCAACTTCTGGACTCACAATAGGTTAAGAACGGATCGGACCAAGTGCTTTGGAAGCTGAATCAAAATGGAAACTTCTCAGTTAAATTCTACTACAGCCATATTGTGAGGGGTGGGACTGAAAGGAGCCACAACTACCTGGTTCAACAAATCTGAATATCGAAGGCGACTCCTGGATTTGTTTTTTTTTTTTGCTTAGGAGGCTAACAGAGAATGTATACTGACCATCGACAAGTTGATGTCTAGAGGCCATATTTTAGTCAATAGGTGTTACTTATGCACGAAAACAGCGGAGTCTTGCAATCATCTCTTGTTGTAGTGTCCTGCGGCTTATGATCTATGAAGTATGATTTATGACCTTTTGGGGATTAATTGGGTGATGACAGGTACTCTTTGGGAGGAAATTTGGATGTGGGAAAAGTTATGTAAGAAAAGAAAATTTGTAAAATTGATTTCATTGACTATTTTTTAGGTCATTTAAAAAAAACAAATTTAGAGCTTTTGAGGGTAAAGAGGTTGAGACCTATAAGTTGAGAGATAAATGGTTATATTATTTTGATTTATTTTGTTAGGACATGACATTATTAGGGATGAGAACTTTAAGAATATCATTGACATCCTAACATATTTGTAAATCTTCTTGTACATGGGTGGTATCCCCATAGTATCTTGTTAATATATATTTCACACTTTTTATCTAAAAAAAAAAATATATTCAACCCTCTAGAAGTGAGAAAACACAAAATATTCAAATTCAAATTCAAATTTTGTGTTTCTCTTCTCTTTGACTCTCCGCTCTTCTTTTCTCTTTTTCAGTCCTCTAAGTCGCGGACCACAAACAAGGTTCTAACAAGTTGGTATCAGAGTCTTTTGAATCAGGTGAAACTTATACCTCTGTAGCATCAAGAACTAGGTCCAAGAGAAAATTGATCATGATGGAGCAACCAAAGGTGAGCCAACTAAGGTATCCATAAAAGAAATCGATCAACAATTTACGGACTTCATGATCAAAGTTTATGAAGCACAATGCCAAACCAAACAACAATTTGACCAAATCATCGGAATGTTGTGTGGCAGTATGAGACCCAACAAATTGACTAACCAGGCGGCCGGTTGATCGCTGCTGGTTGCAATGAAACGGAGAATCCTTCCTATCTAACCATGTGCGAAACTGAAGAAATACAGCAACCGATGTGAAACTGAATAACAATGAGTCTGTCGGTGACACTACCTAAGGTGGAAAGTCTGCTGTTTGAAGGAATAAATCCAAATGCTTGGATTGCAAGATGTGACAAATATTTTTTGGTGCATGGCACATCAGATGGATAAAAGGTCGAAGTGGCTTCACTACTCCTAGGTGAAGTGATTGATATGTGGTACCAAGGCTAGCTACCAAGAATGAAGATCTGGAACAGGAAGTGTTTGTGGAAGAAGTCTGCTGCAAGTTTCGCGGTGCAGGTACAAAAGACTTCATCGAAGAGCTTAATAAACTAGTGCAAGTGGGGACTATTATGGAGTATCAAGAACAATTCACACACTTTAGGGCCTTGTATCGAGATATCATGAGGTACGTGCTTCCTTAAGCAGACTTCTCATCATGCTGTTGGAATGGGAAACACCAGGATTGAACATTTTTAGTGTTTCCCTAAAAAACTCAATAAGAGAAAACAAAGTTAAGCGGATAATCATCACCTGTTACAAGTGTGGTGACCACTACTTCCTTGGACATCGTTGCCAAACCATGATGATGATGGCCATTGAAGAACTAATCTCCCACGAACATGAGGTGGAGAATTGCCGCATGAACTGGCCAACGGAGAAGAGAACCAAACAGGTACACTTTCCATTCTGTCCATAGAAGGCATTGTTGCAGGAAGCACGCTGAAAATTAGAGGAACTCTAGGAGGATATGATGTTGTAGTCCTTCTTGACAGTGGCTACTCACATTCAGTCCTGTACAAGAGTGCTGCTAGATGAGTTTAGAATAAAGTGATAGGTGAGAAGCCATTGATGATAACAGTAGCTAATGGTTAGAAGATCTCCAGCAACATTGAACATCCTGAAGTCTCATGGGCGATGCAAGGATATAAATTATGCCAAACTTCTGTGTAATCTAGCTAGGCAAATAGGACATGATCTTGGAGTTGATTGGATGAAGCAATTTAGTTTCGTGGTATTTGATTTTGTCCATGCCATTGTGAAATTTCACTATGTTGACTTGCTTATAGTTCTTGAAGGAGGTGATGCAAGTGGAAATTTGTTCAACATGAAAGAGACAAGTGCAAAAAAATGGATAGACCAGAAGCAATCCATTGAAGGAGAGATGGTCTTTCTGGTGATGTTGGCAGAATCAGTGGACATTATCACAAAGGAGTCAAATGAAGTATTAAGGACCCTGCTGAATCACCTCAAAGGTGTCTTTAAGGAGCTCTGAGGCCTGTCCTCGCCAGGGCTTTTGATCATGCCATATCCTTGAGTCAGGTAGGGATGACAGTGAATATACATCCCTACCAATATTCCTTTCACTAGAAGAATGAGATGCAAAGACAAGTTCAGCAGATGTTGGAAGAATCATCCGCCGCAGCCATAGCTCATTGTCATCTCCTGTTTTGCTAGTCAAAAAGGACAGAGCCTGGAGGTTCTATGTCGATTATAGGGAACTCAATTCCCTCACAAGAATAAGTTCCCTATATCCATTATTGATGATTTATTTAATGAATTACATGGGGGTATAATCTTCTCCGTGTTGGACCTCTTATATGACTATCACCAAATACGGGTAAGAGAAGAGAACATTCACAAAACAGTCTTCAGAATGTACCAGGGTCACTATGAATTGAGGGTAATGCCTTTCAGCCTCACTAATGTCCCGACAACTTTTTCAGGCTCTCATGAACCATATATTCAAAGCTTTCATCTGGAAATTTGTCCTAGTCTTCTTTAATGACATCTTAGTTTATAGTTCGAATGAGTAAGAACACTGTAAGCAATTGGAAGAGGTATTGAAACTGCTAAGGGACAATAAACTATATGCCAAGCAATCCAAATGTCGATTCTTCCAAAAGGAAGTGGAATATTTGGGTCACACCAGGAAGGAATAAAGATAGACTCGAGAAAGATAAAAGTTACAGTGAGTTGACTGCCACCAAAAACCTTGAAAACCCTCTGAAGATTTTGGGGCTTGATAAATTACTACCGCAAATTCATTCAACACTATGGCGTTATAGCAAAGCCACTCATGAAACTTACTGAAAAAAGGAGCGTCCTAGTGGAGTTGAGGCTAACCAAGCCTTCCAGGAACTAAATTCTGCTTTGACCTCTAGTCCAGTGCTGAGACTGCTGAAATTTAGAGACCCTTTTACTGTGAAGACTGATGCCAATGACAAAGGATTGGAGTTATATTTATGTAACGGGTGAAAGGCTCATAGCCTTCAATAGCGAGACGTTGAGTCCTAGAAATCAATCGAAGTTGGTGCACCAAAAAGAACTCATGACTGCGTTGCATGCAGTAAGCAATAGCGAGATTATTTGAAGGAACTCCATTTGTCATCAAAACAGACCAAAAAACCTGAAATATTCTTTTGGATCAAAGGG